CACCCCTCTTCCCTGCCTATGCAGGGGGTCGGACTCGATGATCTATTGAGATCCCTTCCGACCCTAACATCTATGAATCTATAGAGTACTGTGTCCAGTTTGGGGCATCACACTTGAAGAAAGATGTGGACAATGCAGAGGAGAGCAACAAAAAATGATTATAGAGGTCTAAAATACATGACATAAGTTGGAAGAACAGGGCTTATTTTGTGTTAGGAAGAGAACAGAAGTTTGAGGAAGGATCTCATGACAGTCTTCAAATTCAAAAAGGGTTGTTCTCAAACAGAAGTCATTCTATTGTTTTCATGGGCGGGGGGTGGGGGTGGGGGTGGAGGAGGGGACAGGACAGAAAGTAATGGATTTACATTGCAAAAAAGGAGATATTAGGATGAACTTTTACCATGAATGTAGTTCTCTGCTGAAATGGATTATCTAGAGTGGCCAGGGAATCTGCTTTAAGTGCAGGTTAGACAAACATTTGTGTGGGATGGCTTAAACAAGAATGATCCTGCCTCGAGCAGAGGGCTGGACTACGTGATCACTTGAGGTTCCTTCCAGACCTGTTTTTCTGTGATTCTCTCAGGTATGGGATGGGTAAAGGACACACAGAACGGAGGCATGCAGTACTTTCTCGCAGTTGGGTACTCTCAGATGGGTCAGGTTTCATTTTCATTGCAAAAAACTGCAATGAAAAATTGCCTTGAAACTCACCACCATAGCAGTCTAAATGGGTTTTATTATACCCTGGTAGGGCCCCAAATACCTTGCAGATATCTTTTAGCCCACTGTACTGTTTCTTTATGAGGGTGTGATCCAGCAAGGTATTCAAGGGGAGTCCAGGCTGGCAAGCAGGTTTCAGGAGACACTCACCACCTTTGTGGACTCAGCCCTTTAGGAAGGAATTTGATTAGCACCAACTCAAACAGCTCACGGTCAGCTTTAATACACTAGGCATGGCAGCAATACAGTCCTTGGGATCTGATCCAAAACTCATTGAAACAGATGGACATCTTTCCATTGACTCAAAATTGGCTTTGGATTAGTCCCTTGCTGTGGAAAAATGTAGACTGTCATGTTAGAAAACCTAAAGATGTTAACTGCCATGTGTGGGCGAATTTCATTTTGCAATTGTCCAACTCTGCAGCAATATGCAATTTACAAATCCCTGCTATTCTTTGATATGTGAATCACAGCTCCAGAACGCAAGTGGCAGCTTATTTACTGAGAATGACGAAAGCAATCAATACCCATTCATTCTGCAAGTACGAGTTAGCAATTTAAGCTGACAAGCCAGATAATTACTGTAGGAAACATGCCTGTTTTTTCTTAGCTCTTATTTTTTTATTCATGTCAGCTGCAAACAGTAGTTTTAAACACTGCATGGTAAAAGTGGTAAAAATCACAAGGTACGTTTTCTGGCTAGAAATCTCCATGAGATTCCCCTTTCAGGAATTTCCCCAAATTAGTCCATCAGCCGAGCACAGGATTAACTTCTCGGGATAAGCTTCAGGAGATGACTTGGGTAGACAGAGTGGCAGGGAACGGCTCTGGAAAGAAGATGAACCCTCTTTTCCATGAACAAGAGATCTCAGTCTCTCTGTGCATAGATTAGGAACATGCTTTTGCTTAGTCTTTTAACATTCATGGCTCCACAACCTATTAATTATGGAAGAGAAAAACCAGTTGTAGGTGCAAAGATTACTTAA